TACTTAACCATATTTTGGGGACAAATTTGTACCCAAAAGTGAGCAAAACCTAACAAAAACGGCAAAAACCTCAATTTGTGGATGTCCTCATTAGTAAAACTGTTATAAAATTTATACTTTTGAAATTTTAAAAATGCAGAAAGTTTTCTGTGAGGGGTAGGGTTAGGGGTGGGTGGAGGTTAAAAGATTTATATCTATCTGTATATAAAAACAATCGAAGTCTATGTAATGTCCCCATTTAGATAGCTAAGTAAACGTGTGTGTGTGTGTAAAACAGTATATCAGTCTGGCGAGTAAACAAAAAAATTTACTAGCCAATGGCGATTATAATGCCAAGGTGTGCATAGAGGGTTGTCTATGCAACAAACTAAGCACAAACAAACAAAAAGCCTTATTGCTCTGGATGTCTCTGCCTTCACATTGTCACTTGATAAGTGATCTTTCCAAGAAATGTTCAATGTCATAATGTGCTTGATCTATAAGCACTGATCCATTATGGATGGGCCGCATCCATGCACTGCGCTCGTTCTGCAGGGCAGCTGCGTCACATGCACCAGTATCTAAGGTCTGCATTTGTATTGCGCGATGTTTACCTTGCATATTAAAATAAACATGCAAAGTATCAGTGTTAAAACGGATCAACTTTCCAGTGAAAGATCACTCACCTCGTCTTTTCCTTCAGTGCTGCTCTCCTGCTGCTCAGAGGTGCAGAGTTTCCTTTTGTTTTTGCTCTCAGTTCTCTTCATTCTGATGGATGGGGGTTGAGTAATACTCTACAATAGTAATATATCGGTTTTAGAATCCGGTGGTCAGTGCATTTAGATGGTGAAACAAGCTTTGCTCTGATACATGGTGAGCAAACCTCTCCTCAACTTTGTTCCTCAAGCACAAAGGCAGAATCAATGGTGAGCGCAGTTTCGACACCGTGGGTTTTGTTGCTCTCTCGAACTTAAGTTACAACCCGAGTTGCCATGACAGCTATGGAATCATAGCCCGTCAGTTATCTTGTCAATACTGTTTTGTCTTCAGTTTTACATAAACTGTGCGGTTTTAGCGCGGCAAATCAACCGGCGGAACTCGCTAGCTCGCTAGCTGTTGCTTGATCTATAAGCACTGATCCATTATGGATGGGCCGCATCCATGCACTGCGCTCGTTCTGCAGGGCAGCTGCGTCACATGCACCAGTATCTAAGGTCTGCATTTGTATTGCGCGATGTTTACCTTGCATATTAAAATAAACATGCAAAGTATCAGTGTTAAAACGGATCAACTTTCCAGTGAAAGATCACTCACCTCGTCTTTTCCTTCAGTGCTGCTCTCCTGCTGCTCAGAGGTGCAGAGTTTCCTTTTGTTTTTGCTCTCAGTTCTCTTCATTCTGATGGATGGGGGTTGAGTAATACTCTACAATAGTAATATATCGGTTTTAGAATCCGGTGGTCAGTGCATTTAGATGGTGAAACAAGCTTTGCTCTGATACATGGTGAGCAAACCTCTCCTCAACTTTGTTCCTCAAGCACAAAGGCAGAATCAATGGTGAGCGCAGTTTCGACACCGTGGGTTTTGTTGCTCTCTCGAACTTAAGTTACAACCCGAGTTGCCATGACAGCTATGGAATCATAGCCCGTCAGTTATCTTGTCAATACTGTTTTGTCTTCAGTTTTACATAAACTGTGCGGTTTTAGCGCGGCAAATCAACCGGCGGAACTCGCTAGCTCGCTAGCTGTCTGCTGATAAAGTTTGACAACATCCGCAAAATAAACGCCTTTCGGGTTTACAAAAAATGACGTAACTGTTTAAAAACAATGTGTAAATATACTCGCCGGGCTAGTGTCTGTCAATGTGAGATTATAAGGACAGGTCACCATTACGCTGAATAGCGCGGCGTTTCCAACGTGTTTGCCGCAGTTTCAAATCAACCAGTTTCAAGTTTCTCTCTTCTCTGTAAACTAATACTTTAGCATTCCGGAGTTTTCTCAGCCATAACAAAAACAAAAACGCGATTTTTCTTCATCCCGTCAACTGCCTGACCGACGAGATACTTTGCGCGGCGCCACAACACAGCGCGAGCTCAACTGTTCATCATGTCTCGTGAGTCAGGTCCATAGACGCGCGAGCTGTATTTTGACACAGATCATCCTGCGGGGGCAAAGCTCCGCTTTTCTCCTCCAATCTCACTCTTCTTCAAACGTCAACCTCGTCGGTGAGGGGAAACGGCTCGGTGGCGAAAATAATTGCTAATCAGAGCTGATCCATGTCGTTGGTTTTCTTCTGGGAGGAAATCTAACAGCTTCCTAAAGCTCGGATCAAGTGAATGACCGTCGGTGCGAGCCTAATGCTGATCTGAGTTCAGTCTGTACGAGCAGAATCGAAGTAGTACACTGGAGCGCTGATCTGAGTTCAGTCTGTATGTCTTGCATTGCATATACACTGGGGGCTGATCTGGGAACGTTGTTTCATCCAATGGTTTAGAAGGGGCAAGTAAAAAGATTGGTTTTGGTGAAAAACGACTTAACTTTGTCTTTGCTGCCATCTGCAGGCGAAAGTAATTTTTTTTTTTACAACAATTACTGCATTTTCCTTCTGCACAATCATTGTAGGTTGAAAGATGGCACAGTACAAGGTGAACAAATTAATTAAGATATACTGAGAAAAAAAGAAGGCTCAGCAAATCTGAGCAGCAGGCTTAATTTCTTCATTCTTGATTTCTTGATATTATTTATTTTTAATTAAATTATACCCAATGGCAAATTCTCCATGTTTGTTATTGAATGTGGTTGTGAAATGAGATAACGGGGAAGTATTTGCAAGTTAATGGGGAGCACTGAATTCTGAATTGTTGAACAGATTCATTCATTTAAGCATTCATTTAAGCCATAAGATATATACGTTTTTGGTTTGTGTCAGAAAAATGATGTAGGAGGGCATAGCATGAAAAAAATAGCATGAAAGATACAATAAATTTGGAATAGCATGTAGCAAAATAATCTGTACATTTTGGTGGATCTTACTTTAAATTGTGTAATTGTGAAGTGACGTGTGGCCAAGTATGGTGACCCATATTCAGAATTTGTGCTCTGCATTTTACCCATCCAACTGCGCGCACACACCCGGAACAATGGGCAGCCATGTGCCTTGTTCAAGGGTCTCACCTCAGTCATGGTATTGAGGGTGGAAGAGAGCACTGGTTATTCACTCCCCCCACCGACAATTCCTGCCAGACCTGACGCAACCTTTGGGTTACAAGTCCGACTCTCTAACCATTAAGCCACATCTGCCCCCTTAAGTGTAGTTTTGTAAAGTTTATTAATTGCCATCAAGTAATGTAGAATAATAAGCAACAGCATTAAAAATGAAAACTCTCAGTAGCATATTCATATTACACAGAATTTGTTTTTTCTAAAATCATTAAAAGAGATAAGACAACAAAGAGAAATAATCAGAGAAACTTTGAGAACTGAAAGTTTACTTGTTAAATACAATACAGATTTTCATTTCAAACCTTTTAGCATTTGAAACTTTAGTATGCAGTTCTATATTTTTTATTTTACAGTATTTTACTACAAACAATCTGATACAGTACGTAAATTCATATTAAAAGTGAGGGAAAACCATTTTAATTTGAATTCACTACTGTAGTATAATATCTGTATGGACAATAATCGTACAAGAGAACAACAACAAGAAAGAAAATTGATATTTTATAAAAAGGAAGAGAATGGAATTAAATGCAATTAAAACTGAAAATAGCCGGAATCACCTTTAAACATGTAGAATATGGTGTAACTTTATCAGTGATGACACTTTTAACTTGTTTCATATTAATGGATTGACAATGCAAATGTGCATAGTTCATGTATCAGAGAAATACTTCTTCTCAGGATAATACTGCTTAATGACAATAGTGCCCATCAAAGAGAAAAAGGCTACAACTGTGAGGATGGTCCTCAGTGCTTTAAACCAGCTGGGATATGTGGGCAGGAGGGACAGGTCATAATGCAATGCTATCCCAAGCCCCATTATCACAATCACAGCAGACTGCGTAATGTCATGGCAAAAAAGCAGTGCTGTCCAAGCAATCAGAGAGGGAACCACACTGTTGGCTAAATTGAGCCAGTCAGGTTTTGCTGGACTCCCGGCAGGCAAGGCGAAACCCCAGCGTACCCCACCAACAAAGGAAACAATGGACGCTCCGTATGCAACTTGAGCAAATGCAACTTCAGGAAGGTACAGCTCTGTGACCGCCATAAGTAGAGGAGCTGATACAAAAGGTATGAGACCAGATAATCCAAGATAGAGGGCAGGCTTTGGAGCTTTCTTCAGGTCTCTCATGTCATAATGAACCAAATCAAGTTCTCTTGGTGGACTCTCTTCCTGAAGACGTTTCTTCAGTCTCTGTGCAGACCAGTGAAATGACTGGGCTCCCAGAACAGAACCATCAACATGTCTTGGCGGCAGCTGTCCATATAAACCTCTAGTAAACAGTGTTGAAGAGTGAATGGTCCGCTGCCCTAAACAGGCAAACTTGCTGGACACCTGCAGGAGGCCACTCCACTGCCTTCCCTGTTATTATGGAGGAAAGAAATGTCTGTTAAAGGGGTCATATGATGCTTTTTTAAAGATCATTATTTTGTGTATTTTGTGTAACAGAATATGTTGACATGCTTTAATGTTCAAAAAACACATTATTTTTCAAATACTGTACATTATTGTAGGTCCTCTATGCCCCGCCTCTCTCAAACGCTTCGTTTTCTACAAAGCCCC